CCTGGCAGGCTTGACTCTTTCCCTCTGCAGCCCAAAATAGCTAACCACAGGGCTGGGCGAGGGGAGGAGAGCGGAGTGCCCACTGGCAATGCTGCCCGTCCCGACACCTCCTCCTGTTTCTCATCAGCTTGGTAGCTCTCAGTGCTCTGTCTGCTCAGCATCACTGCCCCCTCCCTTCTGCCGCCACTACACGCCCATGGTACCCCCACCCAAATAAAAACAACTGCCAATGAAATAAACAGCTCCTTGCTTCGTCGCACTTGCTCTGGGTGTGACCTCAAAACCTCCCCTTCGGGAAGTGGGGAGGTGAGGTGTGGGGAGCCGGAGGGTAGCAGGAATGAATTGGAGCGGAGTAGGAGGTGGTAAGAATGGAGGGGTGCCATTCATTCCCCCAGGAGTCAGAAGAAGGGGCTCTGTTTCTTGATGCCCCGCCTCCTCACTTCCCACCACTGCCATCACCCCAGGAATGTACTCCCAGCTTATTACCCTGCCCGTGTTTGCTATCTTGGCCCACACAGTGTATCTGTGGCAAGCAGAGGCCACACCACCCTGCCAGATGGAAATACCCCAAGGCTGGGAACACATCTACTTGAGCAGACTAAGGAGCTCCCAGAGGGCAGGGAGAGCCTGCAAAGGTGACTCACTCTGTTTTAAAAACACAAACAGTTTTCATAAAAAATTTAAAACGAATAATCTCACATTACACAAAGTTTGAAACTAGAGAATGAAAAAGATCACCCCCAAACCCTCCATCCTAACACAAGATCTGTTTTTATTTTATTGAATTTCCACAGCCTAGTAAAGTAGATGCTCAAATATCACTCAAATGTGGAACGGATTAACAAAAGTTGATACATATATAGAGTACTCGCTATGTGCCAGGAATTTTTCTAAATGCTTCACACTTAATGACCCATTTAATCTTCACAACAACATGAGGTGGGTATCACCATGATCATCAACATCCTTCATTTTTAGGAACTGCAGCACAGAGAGGTTCGGTGACTTGCCTAAGGTCACACAGCTGGTAACTACAGGAGATGGGAGTTGAACCCTGGCAGTCTGGGGCCAGGATCTTACCAGTGTTACTCTATTTTGTCTCATCATAATCGTTAATGCATATGCAGGTTTATAAAAACTTATTATGGACAATTTCAAACAGAATCTCATGTTCCCCTCCCCCAGTTTCAATAATTATCACCTCATGGCCCAACTTGTTTCTTTTATTCCCTTCCCCCATCCCCAGCCCAGATGATTTTGAAGCAAATCCAGTCATCATATTATTTCATCCACACATATTTTAGTATTTATCTCCAAAAGATAAGGAGGTTATTTATTTATTTTATTATTATTATTTTTTAATGTATTTATTTTATTTTTGACTGCATTGGGTCTTTGCTGCTGTGCACAGGCTCTCTCCAGTTGTGGCAAGCGGGCGCCGCTCTTCGTTGTGGTGCACAGGCTGCTCATCGTGGTGGCTTCCCTTGTTGTGGAGCACAGGCTCTAAGCACAGGGGCTTCAATAGGGTGGCACGCGGGCTCAGTAGCTGTGGCTCGCGGACTCAGTAGTTGTGGCTCACGGGCTTAGTTGCTCTGCAGCATGTGGGATCTTCCTGGACCAGGGCTAAAACCCGTGTCCCCTGCACTGGCAGGCGGACTCTTAACCACTACGCCACCAGGGAAGCCCGAGGTTTTTTATTGAAAAAATTACCACAGTACCATATCATGCCTTAAAATGTATATTTCATTAAGATCATCAATTTGAATAATTAGTATTCAAATTTCCTCAATAATTTAATAAAATATATATAGTTTTAAAAGTTGGTTTGCTTGAATGAGGACCCAGATAAGGCTTTTGGTTGACAGATTTCTTAATTTCTTTTAAGTGTAAGTCTCTCCCTTTCCTTTTTTTCTTCCGATTTATTTGTTAATGAGGGAATTGTGTTTATTTTGCTGACTGCACCCCTGGAGAATGCTCAGGCTATATACATATATATTTTTTTGGCCGTGCTGTGGGGCAGGGCTTGTGGGATCTTAGTTCCCTGACCAGGGATTGAGCCCGGGCCCATGGCAGTGACAGCCCCAAGTCCTAAACACTGGGCCGCCAGGGAACTCCCAGCTCATGCTATTTTGTATCCTGATCTTTTCATCTAACTTAGCAAACATTTTCCTATACTGCTTATTATATGGCTTCCTACTATGTCACCCAATGGATATAGTACGATTATTTTTTTTCTTGGGCATTTGGGTTGCTTTCAGTTTTCCATTGTTATAACTAATGTTGGACTAAAGATCTTCACACATAGTGCATGGTACGTACTTCCTTAGAATATGCTACCAGAAATGGAATCATGGCTCTGAGGCCTGAACAATCGTTCAGCCTCTTGGCACAGATCACCAAGCGTTTGTCCAAGGGGTTATGCATCCCCAGCACCACACAAGAGTGCTGTCACTCATTCTAAGTACTTAGGCCTATTCAAGGCTGAAGGATGTTTGGTGAAGACATGATAATTAAGAAGGCAGAGAGCTAGAGGAGAAAGATGATGACAGGGGCTCAGGCTAAATTAAGCAGAAAGTGATCTACAATTTACCACAAACCTAGAGTGAGTCAGTACTCTGTTCATTCCTGTTGTGAAAAATAAAAAACAACAAACCCTTGATAACAGGAGCTATTAATAGGGCATGGCATGTCCAATAATCTTTCTGTTAAGACTATGCATTAGTCAGACCCTTATTTGAGACATGGATCCAGTCTGGGTCACTGAACTTCACAGAGAGTGAGGAAACTGGCGAAGATCAGAGAGCTTGATCAACTTCGGGGAGGATGGAAGAATCCCAGAGAAAAGTCGAAGGAGACAAGTAGGCTCACTTTGGGAAAAATAAGAGACTTTTTTTTTTTTTTTTTCCCTGTATGCGGGCCTCACTATTGTGGCCTCTGCCGTTGCGGAGCACAGGCTCCGGACGCGCAGGCTCAGCGGCCATGGCTCACAGGCCCAGCCGCTCCGTGGCATGTGGGATCTTCCCGGACCGGGGCACGAACCCGTGTCCCCTGCATCAGCAGGCAAACTCTCAACCACTGCGCCACCAGGGAAGCCCAAGAGATTTTTTTTTTTTTTTTTCCTCAATACCGGGGAGGCTTCTAAGGAAAGGACAACACTCAGTTTTTGCTTATTTCTTCACAAGGCTGACTGTAAGGAAAGGGGCCTCTCCCTACCAGTAGGAACTTCCGTAAGACACAGCAAAAATTTTTCAGACTCTGGGGTGACCATTTAGGTCTTGGGCTGAGAGCTCTTGGGCTACTGGCCCTGGAAATATTCGAGAAGCTGCCTGTTCTGCTCTGAGTGGTTCAGATATCCACCTGCTTGGTGCCCACTAGGTGCCTCTGGGGGCCCCACTCCTGCTTTGTGACAGCTGTTCCCTGGAAGCCCCCTTGGGGAGGGGTGGGTGAGGTCACAGAGGAGTGCTCCCCAGGTTTGCTGGGCCAGCATTCTCCTTTTTGTCCCCTCACCTTCAGTGTGTGTTTACAGCCAGTCAGATTGGCGTGTCATGACATCACCTGACCCTGCTATTCCAGCCCTGTTGTGCATAGAGTGGACTTAGAACCTGGGTCAGGGGATTGGAAACTCCTCAAACAAGGCACTCTTGGTGACACGGAGAGTGGGAGTGACCCAGGAGACCTCAAGAGTCGTTTAGTTCAACCTCCTACAGCAACAGCTTCCTACCACGCAACAGTTGCTATACATACATTCTTCTGAATTCCCACAACCTCGGAGGTAGGTTTTCACAGGTATGGAATTGGAGATTAAGACAAGTTATTTGCCCAGGGTGACACTGCTGGTGAAGCAGTGCCTGCTAAGTCTACCTGACAGGAAAATCTGTGCCCTTGCCTTTAGAGCATGCAGAGGTGAAAAGTGCAGATCCGAGAGCCTCCCACCCAAAGCCAAACAGCTGACCAGGGGCTGGGACTCAGAGTCTTGGCTATTCATCAGGTCGTCTTCCCAAGTCCTCTTCCAACTTCTAATGTGGGGAGGCCGAGGATGTGACCTGGCCCAGGCCAGCCTGGGTCAGGTGTAACTGAGGAGCAGACAGGCTGTGGACTGCATTCTCTGCCCTCCAGACTCTCATCCTAAGCAACGTTGTGAAAAACCCGCTTCCAGGAGGGCCCAGCACCGGCTGAGCCAGTCGATTTCTGGCAGCGAGGTGTAGATGAAAAACTCTGACTTGAGGTCAGAATTTCTGGGGAGGACCCAGCCGGGGGCTGTGGCAAGCTACTTAAAACTCCAAGTTTCCTCGCCAGCAAAACCGGGCAAGAGTAAACCCCACAAGCAGCGCGCAGACGCCGAAACAGGCCTTGCTATGCGCCAAAGCGATACCATCTGATCTTTGTTTCTCTTGCTATTGAAAGCTCCGTGCGGCCCCAGCGAGGCCTGGGCTGGAGCGGGGGTTAAAAAGAAAAACTACAACTCCCAGGAGGCGGCGGGCGGGCCGGCGCTGGGCGGTGACGTAATGGGGGCCGGCGCGGGTCGCTGATTCGGCCGGAGCTGCTAGCGGGGTGGCTGCCGCCGCGGCTTATTACAGCTGCTGGAGCAGCAGCGACCCTCGCCCCCGGGCACCCCTCCCGGGCCTCGAGCTCCGGCCGCGCACGGTGAGTTCGGACGGGCGGCTTCGGAGTGGCCAAACCGGGAGCCTCCTGGGGCTAGAGGCGGGACGGGAAAGGAGGTGGGGGCTGCTGGGGAGGCGCCCGTGGCTGGAGGGGACCGGGACAGGGTGAGCGGAGGTGGAGGGGGTGCGTCAGCCGAGCGGGGGGCGGGGGGGGCGTGCATCAGTCGAAGGGATGCCCAAAGGGGAAAGTGCGGGCGGAGGCCCGGGATGGGGCGTAGAGGAGGAGTGCTCGGTCTGGGGGTGGGGGGCGGGGAGAGGCTGGGCTTCGGGGATAAAGGTTTGTTCGCTTCCAGGGCTGGGTGAACGCGTGGGGGTGGGGGTGGGGCTCCGGACCGGGCCAGGCTCCGAGTGCGAGGTCCCAGGCTGGGGAACGGAGCGGAGGCTCCCCACTTCGGCTTGAAATCCCACTCAGAAAACCCAACAATAGTGAAAACTCCGCCTCCTCGCTTCACCCTCTTCCCGTGCTAGTGTGGGTTCCCTCCTGTACTCGCCGTTTTTCCATTCCCACCGCCACCCCGACTCCGGGAGGCAGAGCCGGAGCTGCGAGGTGAACGACTGTGGCCCTGCGGGTTGCGGGGTGGGCGGAATGAAAATGGCACTGTGGCGTGCTGCCAGGGACTCCCCGTTGGGGTCCAGGTTGCAGGCTTTGTGCTCCTCAACCCAGAAGGCGAAAGATTTGCTGCCCTTACTTGGGGGAGAGATTAGGAAGCGCTCACCTGGCTGCTGGCACTGTGGCTCGGCTTAGGTGTCTGACAGACTGGCTAGGCAGAGATATTTGTATACGGAGCCAGAGGGGAAGGGAGGGAATTAGTAGGAAAGAGTTACCAGCAAGAAAGTAGTTAACAGAACAAAGTTGCTGCAGGCTCTGGTTTGAGGCAGGTTGTGAAACCACATCAGGGACTGACACAGGCAGCCACCTGCCAGCTGCCAGCGGTGGCAGCAGAACTTTTCAGGCTCAGCGGCTGTGCGCCTACTCTATCTCCAACAGCTTCTTCTCTCCATTTCTCCCCTTCTGGGCCAGGGGCAGTTGGTTATTTCACTAGCAGTGGTTATCTGTATCCTTAGTCACACAAAAGTCTCAAGAGTGCTTCTTGCTTCCAGTCTTTTTCTTAGTTTATTGACCTCTTCTGTTTTTTTCTTTTTTTGGGGGGGCCTCTTTTGGGGGGGTGGGCTTCTGAGATGTTTTGTTCTCAGGGCACTTAGTGTTCAGGTTTCAGGAAGAAGCTTCCCAGGGTGTCATTTAAGTCATAGGTCTGGGCCCCTCCCAGACTCATCAGGCTTCGTTGGATGCCCTGATACAGCCAGAAAGGAGTGTAGGATGATCTGGAACTCAGCAAGGCTCTTAGCACTCCTGGACAAAACACTAGGGAGGGCTAGAGGTCTAGCTACTGCTACACCCTTGAGGGTCTAGGTTAGGGAGAAGTGGGGAGGGGTAGCAGTTTCTGGTCAACTTGGGGAATTCTTTCTCTCTCCTTCGTCAGTAATGAAGTCCTTCAGAGCCCTCACTTCCTAGCCAAGTCTCCCCGACCACCCTGTCCACCAGGTGGCGGCTTTTGTGCAGTAGGTGTCCCAGGAGCTCTGTTAGGGTAACTGAAGCCCTAAGGCCCTGGGAAGGTAAACACCTGAGTCACTCCTGGTTTTCTAGTTCCTTGGGTTTCTCTTAGGCCCAGTGATCCAGCCTAATGGGTTGAGCTGGTGGGCCCCAGGAGCATCGCTACTTTTGGATGCACCCTGGGCCATCTCATGTGTTTGTATGTTGGGAAAGTGTGTTGTGGGTCACATTTCCCCTGAGGTCTTTAAGCTTGGAGCCATCTGAAAGGAGGAAACTTGTTCCCATTACCCTGGAAGTAGGGATCTGATTCTTGAGAATCGGCTCCTTTGCAGACTCTGTGATCTTAGCCAGAGATAGAGGGCAACCGATTCTGAGGGGGTTTGTTGCAGCAGGGTGAGGGAGGTGACCTTCTGGGCACTTCCAGGATGCCCTCATCTGTATCCCCAGGAAAGATGGGGCTGTTATCATGGTGATGACCTTAGGGTCTTTATCAGGCAGGATCTTCCGTCAGCTAGGGAGGAGAGCCAGTACAAAGGTGCCATCTGTCCCCACCTCCTGCTGGTCACAGGGCCCTCAGGGATCTGGGGACAGCTCAGCTCTGGACATGGGGCTGCTCGTTTCCCTCCTTACCTGCATCCAGGAATGCAGCTGGGCTGCATTGTTTCATGGGCATCAAGGGCAGCCCTCCTGGTTCCTCCTGCTGCAGGGCTTCTGCCCTTAGAGCTGGGCAGGGGAAGGCATGGTGCTAACTTACACCTGGAAACAGGTGCTGGGAAAGGAGGCCCAGGTGACGATGGGTGGGCAGACAGAAAAGGGGGGGGTAGGAGAGAGGCCACAGGTGTGGTTTTGTATCCCTGGGAGAGGTATGTTGATGTGGGCTCCAGCCACCCGTGGGAGCTGTAGATGTTGGCTATGTTCTCTATCCTTGCCTCTCCTCTGGTGGGGAAAAGGGCCCTGGTAGTTTGGCAGCAAAATGGGTGGCATCACAAGGGTTAGCCTGAGTGGCTGCCAAATGGATAAAACATCTGGATGGGTTGTTTTGTGTCACCAAGAAGGCAGCTTCCAGGTCTGGGCAAAGTTTGTCTCTAGTCTGTTTTCTCTTTTCTTCCCTTTCCCTCTCTTTCTACCCTGCCAGTCATACCCAGGATTGGAGAATTAGGGGAGATGGGTAGAAGCAATGACCCCCAAATATTTTATCCACTACTGACTGTTCTCATCTCCTTTTATTCCTTGTAACGGGAGGGCGGGGGGCTCAGGGGTGGAGGTGTCTTAGACCCTCAGCAAGACGGAGTCCAGCAGGGGTTATGCTGAGTGATTCTTAGGGCACAGGCCTCTTCTCCCCTCCCCTGGGCTTCGTGGGAAGAGGACCCTCTGGAGGGTGAGATTGCGGGATGGGCAGTGGTTTCTTTACTCTGGGGCTCCATGCCTCTTGATGACCTATCCACCCAGGCAGTCCCAGTGCCTGGAAGGGCACTGTCCTGATTGGACTATGTGCGGAGCAGCCTGGTGTTTATCCCAACCCAGCAGTGAGAAATGAATAGAGTTAAGTCTGCATGGACTTTCTCTGGCCGTCTCGCTTGAGAATCAAAACGGTAGACCTGCTTGGAGTTCTTGGGGAGAGCAGAGCCTCCTTCCCTGCAGGATTTGGAGGGTGTGAGAGGGCAGGGAAAGTGGTGTGACCTGTCTTACCTGTGCTGCTTGTTTGCAGAACCGTGGCAGGAGAGGGGCAGCAGGATGAATGTGGGAACAGCACACAGCGAGGTGAACCCCAACACGCGGGTGATGAACAGCCGTGGCATCTGGCTCTCCTACGTGCTGGCCATTGGGCTTCTCCACGTCGTGCTGCTCAGCATTCCCTTTGTGAGCGTCCCCGTCGTCTGGACCCTCACCAACCTCATCCACAACATGGTGAGGACCTGTTGCTGCCTGCCTTTGGTGGGGCTGGGGAGGATGGGAGCCCGCCAGACGTGGGCCAGACGTCAGGGTGACGTGCTGACGGCACGTGTCACCAGAGCCCAGACGCCCACCCTCTTCTTTCTGCCCCCCTCCTCTTTATTGGAATAAAATCTGCAGATATGTCCACTCCTCTAGGATGGGGTGACTTGTGGACCTGGAAGATGGGCCACGGAGAGCTGAACTAAGGGCCCTAAAGAGTCCAGGGGATCCAGGTCCTAGCCTGGGGCAGAAATGCCTCTTTCCCGAGTTAGGATCTCAGAGCATCTTTTCCTCTTGCCCCTCTCTGCTCCCTCGCTACCTGCTTGCTCCCTGGTATTCTTTTGGTGGGCAAGCAGGGGCCTCGTTCCTTCCCATCTGCTTGCCCCCTGCCAGCTGGCAGGCACAGGGAGCCTAGCCCTGGGCTGGAGGGGTGGCGTCTCCATGCTGACTCTGTGGCTGACACCTCCCCGGGAGTTCTCCTCATGCCAGGCTTGCCCTCTCACCCGGTGGGTCCCCTTATTTTCTGGCCAGGCTCCCAGCTCCTCCCACCTGACCTCCAGCCCGCATCCCCCTGCCCAGCGGAGGGGGTTCCAGATCACCAGGAGCCCACGTCTGTGACTGGGGCGGAGGAGCTGAGCTGGAGGGCCTTTGGCCTTTTGCATCCTCTAACAAAGGCCCCTCCCTCCAGGGCATGTACATCTTCCTGCACACGGTGAAGGGGACCCCCTTTGAGACCCCAGACCAGGGCAAGGCGAGGCTGCTAACACACTGGGAGCAGATGGACTATGGAGTCCAGTTCACGGCATCTCGGAAATTCCTGACCATCACACCCATTGTGCTGTGAGTGCCTTAGGGAGAGGGGGACGCCAGCAGGAAGGCCAAGGCCTGGGGGACCCTGGGGCCCTGCAAGGCTTAAACCCCTCGCCAGCTGTGGCTCTTGGCATAGGAATGAGCAAAGGAAGGAAGGTTGGGGTGTGCCTGGGTCTTACACTGGGCTCAGGTTGTGCCTCCCTGGTCCTGTCTTTCCTCGGTTGGGGCTTTCTTCCTGCCAGTGAGTTTGGCCCATGGGCTTGGGGTAGAGCAAGGGGACTGGGTCAGCAGGGGCTTCTTCAGCTGCGCGGATCTTGCCACCCTACTTCTGTTCTGGGGGGGTCTTTCCCATAACTCCTTGGCTGTCAGGAATCTGCCTCCCCCGACCAGGGAGTGAGGGAGAAAGGCATCTTCCAAACAGCGTCTTATACCTGCCCCCAACCTTCCCCACCCAGGTACTTCCTCACCAGCTTCTACACCAAGTACGACCAGATCCATTTCATCCTCAACACTGTGTCCTTGATGAGCGTGCTCATCCCCAAGCTGCCGCAGCTCCATGGAGTCCGGATTTTTGGAATCAATAAGTACTGAGGGTGCAGCCCCTTCCCCTGCGTGGGATGGCAGGGGAGGGGTAGAAGCCTGTGCTGTGACGCTGAAGACAGAAGGAGCCGCTGGGTACCGCCGGAGCTGGGGGTTGAGCCTCTGGGCCCTAGTTTCCCCCTCACTTCCCACAGTAGCAGACTTGAAGTAGTTTGGGGTGGGCCCCCCCCGGGGCTCTGACCCCTCCTGATTCTTTTGATCTTTTCCTTTTGCCTCATGGGGGTGCTCCTGGAATGGGCTGGGCTCCTGGGCTGAACACAGACCTATGAGGTTGGGACAAGAGGCCAGGGAAGCCCCCTGCTCGCTTGCGCCTCCTTGACCTGCTAAAGCACTTTAACCCCTGTGAGCAGGGCAGAGGGAACGGTACAGCTTCTAGTTTGTTTCACTTTAATTCTTAAGTCTTTAGGATGACACTTAGTGTGTGCTTATATATACGAAAGCAGTTGTGTGAGAGTGCGTCATCCCTCTGGGTAGAGAATTGTCTAATTCAAGTCAGACAGCTCCCGTACAGCGCCCCCCAGGGTACTAGGTGCGGGTGGGGAGGGTAAGGAGATGTGGGGGGATGGGGCTGAGTGTGCATGGCCTGGTCCCAGAGGTGGGGGGCCAGGGCTGCAGCCTTCTGGCCCTGGTGGAGGTGGGGAGGGGGCTGGGGGCAGGGGTGGGGAGGGTGAATTGAGACTGAAAACAACGGGGCCGCAGAGCAGTGGGGGTTCGTGTAAGATGCGGGGTGGGGTGGGGGGGGAACAGACCCAACCTCATTCTTTGGGAAGCGGTCAGGGAAGGGGGCAGTCTTGGAGGGTCACTTACCCACAGCATGGTGGGGGTAATGGGAAGGGAGGCTGCTATGGGTTTGAAGCTCCTGGGTTGGCATGAGGGGGTGGAGATGGGTGGAAGGGGCCTGTGCGTCATTGTAAGCACAGGTCCAGTTTGACGCCCGTCTCTGCAGTGGTGTGAGGGCCGCGGGGACATGGGACAGACATGATGAATGGTGGAGCCCTTCTGCAGCCCTTCACCCGGTAACCTCCTTGTGCAGACTGCGCTGGGGCGGGGCCTCTCGTGTGGCATGCACCTTTGGGGCCATCAGGCCACCTCCAAAGGGGTTTGGTGGGCTGCAGAGTCCCGCATGGTCCCTCTCAAGCGGGACAGCGGCAGGTGCAGGGAGTGATCTGCAGGGGCAGGAAGGAGCCGCCTTCTCCCCTCCCCAGCCTGACTGGGGTCCGTGTTACTTCTGAGAAGGTGTGGGTGCCAGGGCGCTGAGGGAGCGGTGGCAGCGGAGGTGGTGGCGTCACTGGCCCTGTTTTCTGCATCCTGGTCCCCCCAACCCCCGCCCCACGTATCATAAGGAACTTTGACCTCAAAATCTTTCTAAGCAAAGTGTGAATAGGATTTTTACTCCCTTTGTACAGTATTCTGAGAAACACAAATAAAGGACAGTGTGTTCCTATTTCCCCTGAGTTTGGCCTCTGCTTCCTGGAGGGGGCGGAGACGGGGCAGTGTGGAGCATCAGTCTGACCCTCTGCCTGGATGGTGGGAGGGCCCCTGGGACCTCTGCTTTTCCTGCTGCCTCCAGCAGAGCAAGCTGGAGGGGCTGGCGGGGAACTGGCAGAGGCAGTAAGCTGGCCAGAGAGCAGCATTTTGCTCTGGGACTTCGCCTGGCTGGTCCTCAGACAGAACTTACACCTCTGGGCTTCAGCCAGGCTGGGCTGGCAGAGGGATAGCTTGTGACATGGCCAGGGAGGAGGTCAGTTCAGCAATGGCTTCATGTAGAAGGCAGAGCCCCAAGGGGTGCCCAGTCCTTTCCTCTGAATTCCTGCCCTGTTTCACTTCTCTTCCTTGCTTTGGAGGGCTGCATCTCCTCCTGGCCTTTGTGTCTTCAGAGGAATCTTCCTGCTTCCTTCTCCCCACCATAAGCATGAGTGGGAGGGAATAGGACTTACTGAGGCTCACATGGCCAGGAGAGGGAGGAGTCTTTACAGCACATTCAGTGCAGTGTCATCTGTGTATATCTGTCATCTGTGTATATCTGTCGTCTGTGTATATCTGTCGTCTGTGTATATCTGTCATCTGTATATCTGTCGTCTGTGTATATCTGTCACCTGTGTATATCTATCATCTGTGTATGTCTATCATCTATCTCCCACCTGCTCCCTGGGTCCAGGAGGAGGGAAGGGTTGGTTTCTTACCTTTGGCCTGTCTGCCTCCACCCTAGCTATAACGTGGCTTATCTAAAAGCCTGAGAGGTGGGGCACTTAGCTTTCCAGTTTTTTTTGTTTTTTTTTCAATTCCTGTATTATAATTTCCTGAGACACAGTGGCCAGGAACTGTGCAGAGATCTTACACAGAGGGGACTCTTTCAACCTCCATTTTTGGTGAGTAGCTGAGGACAAAAAAAGGTGGGTGGCCCCTGAGATGGACTGTGGGCCCTGGGCACAGCCTTTCCATATACCCAGATGAATTCCTAGGTGGGGAGTGAGTGGAGAGTTGGCCACCATGATGGGGGCAGGGGCAGAGAAGGGAGCATGGGTGAGTAGGTGCCTGGGCTAGCCAGAAGGGACTTAGGGGAAGGTGGCCAGGAAGACTGTGAGGGGTGATCTGGCCTCAGGAGGGTGACAGAGGAGCCTGAAGAAAGGGAAGGAGATGCGGAATGATTGATGGAAGGGGAAACAGTAAGAAGGATTTGGAGGAAAGAGAGCCCGAAGGGTCCAATGTGGTGGGGACACAAGAGCTGCTGCTGAACAGAAATGGGGGAGGAGCAGCTGTGTCAGGCTGGCCCCGTGGTGGGCCCGTGGAGGGTCCCGCAGGGCAGGCAAGATGGAGACAAAAGTAGACCAGGAGAGGGTGAAGGGGAGAGTGGGTGGAGGGAGATGCCCCAGGCGGGGTTTTGGGATTCATTTTATTTTACCAAGTATAAGCGGACCTTTCAGAAGTTGACCAGAAACTGAGGAGACAGGACTTGGGGGTGGGGGGCTGTCCAGAGCACCTAGCTCCAAGCCACTCTTGAGTACAAAGGTAGAGTACTACCTTTTCTCTTTTGTTTCCTTCTGAGGCCAGTTTATGACCATCTCACTGGGAAATGGTTGGTAGGGGCAACCATCCAACTGCCTTGCAGAACAGGCAAGTGGGGGTGGCCCAGGGGTCAGAGCGAAGCGAGTCGTCTGTTGGGGTTGGTAATGTGAGGTTCGGCAGTCATGCCCCTCATCTCTTCCTGGCTTCTCTTCATCAGCACTGGTGAGGGTCTGGCTGGGGATGGTGAGCCTACCTTCCCACCCATCGGCCCCTCTGAGCAAGGGGCAACTGCTGTGGGAGATGCAGAAAACAGATCTCGCTTTCCTTCTGGGCAATCGCCACTCCAGCTTTCCTCCAGAAAGTTTCCACAAGGGGCAGAGGAGAATCCAGCATTTGTGATGGCCATCCCACCTTAGTGTGTAGTGACCACCACACCTTCTGGAAACAGGGAAGGCAAACTGTTCTGGTTGGCCTAGAACTTTTGGATCTTTCTTGACCCCAAGCTGCCAAAGGTAGAAGATTTAAAAACCTGAACCAATATTTCCCTCCCCCAAACTGCAATGGGCTTCCTTTTCCCAGTTGGTCCAGGTACCATGCTCGTGGTATTTGAGAAAGTCGCAAGAGCTGTGGTCCAACACATGGACGCTGGTGGGGATATGATCGCTGTCAGAAGCCTCATTGATGCTGACAGATTCCACTGCTTCTATCTGGTGAAGGAGAGGAGACGTTTCTTTGGATACCAATATGATAAGAGAGACCTCACCCTGTAGGACATCCTGGAGATGGACAAGGGTGAAGGGCTGTTTGATAAGCTGGTTCCTGGGCTCCAAGTTCCTCCGTATGAGGTGGGTGAGAGACTTTGTCTATGCCTACGCTACCCCACTGTCAACACCCCATTGCTGTCAATGAGGTCAGCCAGTCAAAAAAGGAACCGTGGTATTTGTATGTACACGTCCATACACCTCAATTAAAGAAATGTACGGGAGAGCTGCATGGGGAGAAGGGAATAGGGGAAATGGAAATTTATTTTTATTGGAAACTCTTCTTTAATAGTCGTCTTTCCTATTTTTTTTCCTTTGTAAATAATTCTCTTTTAAATTAGCCGAGGTCTTCTCATGTGTTTATAATGTTTATCATTTAAATGGATAATTAAATGGAGGCAGTTAGCTTAGTGGTTAGGAAAGGACTCAGGCTTTAGAATTGGGGGCATCTGCCTTCGAAACCTGGCTCTGCCACACTTACCAGCTGGGTGACCTCTGGACAAGTGGTTTTATCTAAGTTTGTTTCCTCGTCTGTCAACTCAAGAAGACTGTTGCAAGAATCAAAAGAGATAAATTACATAAATCATTTACCACAGTGCATGCAAGAAGGAGCATTCAATAAAAGTTCGCCTCAATCATTCTACTGGTGGCGGTTATTATTATTATCCCTTCCTGTTCCTGGAGATCATGGCTGAATGGGAAGTTGCTGGTGAGCAGAACTCCCTTATGGGCTCAAAGGCCTTAGTAGAGAAGTCTGTTCCATCCCCCTGCTTCCAAGCTCAGCGACTCCTGGGGTTTCTTGGGTTTCAGAAGCCCCAGGATAGGTGTTGATGAACCCTCACTTGGAGACTTATTGCAGCATCTCACGCCTCATGGTGAGGAGTTTTACAGCTCAGACATCTCTGCCAAAGCCCATTTGGATCTCACCAAGAGATGGAAAAGAATTCTAACGACACCAGTGTATAGTTTTAGAGCACCTGCCACGTGCCTGGTACTGCTGTTATGTGACCAAGAGCAGTGCACAGAATACTCTGAGGTGGTGGGCTTTTCCACAAGTGGGGTTTAAGTAAGCAAGGGACTTTAGGAAATTTTCAGATTAGTATTTTTCAAAGACTCTGAGTCAATTCGCTGAAACGAGAATTGCCAAGAGTCAATTTACTAAAAGCTAATTGTCAAAAAAAAAAAAAAGACAAGTTCACTGGAAACAGAAGAAAACTTTAAAGCAGGACTAGAATGTTTTGCAATGATCATCTTCCTCCCCAGGGGGCAGGGGCAAGTTTAATTATGGAAAAAAAAATTTGACTAAGTCAGTTAACTTGCTTTAAGGGAAAGTCTATCTGTTTGCATAAAAAAATTCAGAGGGAGAGATGAAACCAAACTAAAAAAGTCCTTAAGAATGAGGTGAACTGGTCATTTAAATTGATTTTCAGCAACTTGGCCTGCTCCCTTTTCAAACAGATTATTATTTTTTTAACTAGATGGTGTACATCGTTGTTTTTTGTTTTTTTTTTTAATTAACTAAAGTCCATACTTTATTCAGATTTCCTTGATTTTTATGTAGTGTCCCTTTTCTGTTCCAGGATCCCATCCAGGACATCATGTTACATGTAGTTGTCACGTCTCCTTTGGCTCCTCTTTGACTTGCCTTGTTTTGGATGGCCTTGACAGTTTTGTTTTTTTTTTTTGCGGTACGCGGGCCTCTCACTGTTGTGGCCTCTCCCATTGCGGAGCACAGGCTCCGGACGCACAGGCTCAGCGGCCATGGCTCACGGGCCCAGCCTCTCCGTGGCATGTGGGATCTTCCCGGACCGGGGCACAAACCCGTGTCCCCTGCATCGGCAGGAGGACTCTCAACCACTGCGCCACCAGGGAAGCCGCCTTGACAGTTTTGAGCAGTAGTGGTCAGGCATATTGTAGGACACCCCTCTGATTGGAATTTGTCTGATTTTTTTCTTATGGATAGACCTAGGTAATGGGTTTGGGGGAGGAAGACTGCAGAGGTAAAGTGCTGTCCCCATCACATCATATCAAGGTTATGTACTATCAACATGACTTATCACTGTTGATGTTGACCTTGGTCAGCTGGCTGAGGTACTGCCTGTCAGGTTTCTCCACTGTCAAGTTACTCTTTCCCCCTGCCCCTCCTCCATACTGTTTTATTGATTGGTTGATTGATTGCTGCACCGTGTGGCTTGCAGGATCTTAGTTCCCTGACCCAAGGATTGAACCCATGCCCCCTGCAGTGGAAGCCCAGAGTCCTAACAACTGGACCGCCAGGGAATTCCCCCATACTGTATTCTTTGTGTGCATAAGGTTTGATTTTTCTTTCTCTCTGATAAAGTACCCACGAACTTTTACGTTACTCAAGAAACAATTGGGCCCTGAGACATTAGCGTCCCACACACAGGACTGATTTCAGGCACTATTTCTAGGTCTGTCATAGTTCCACCAGTTTCAAAATGCATTTCTTCTCTGTAAATCCGGCCCTGCCCCCCAAATCCAGCAGTAGAAGTTCTCCCTGCTCTGTAGGCTCAGAACTGGGAGGTCTGAGAGAAGGACACGCAGCCTGGCAGCATCTCCACATATGCTCCACTAGCTCCAGGGCAGCAACTGACTTGGAGTCCACGCCCTTATGCAAGGCCTTGTGCAAGGCCTTGTGCAAGGCTGGGCAGAGTCCACTTGGGTGGGCAACTTTCCAGACTTGCCTCACTTCACACCTGCACAGTGCACACAAACACAGAGACTGAACTCTGCTTAACTTTTATTTCCCGAAGGTCAGGGCCTCCTAATTCTTTCACTTTACTTTTCCTTGTCTCATTTCAGCCTCTCAAATAGTTATATAGGACTAGCTCACATTTACTGAACATTTAGTATGTGTGCCAGGCACTTTGTTAAGTGCTTAACTGCATTAGTTTATTAATTTCCTCAAGCACGGGAAGTAGTAGGTACTAATAATATTTCTCCTTCTATAGAGACTTCCCTGGTGGTCCAGTGGTTAAGACAACGAGCTTCCATTGCAGGGGGCACGGGGTCAATCCCTGGTTGGGGAACTAAGGTCCCACATGCTGCAGGCCATAGCCAAAAAAAAAAAAAATTCTCCTTCTATAGATGAGGAAACAGATTCAGAGGTGATGTGACTTATCCAAGGTCATTTGGTAAGAAGGTGGCAGAGTGGGCTCCAGGCATGATGACTTCTGGTGAGAACAGCATTGGCTGGAGAGCCACAGCTGGAAGAATTCCTCAGAAGGGAAGGGGATCGTGGAGGGGAGCCCAGGACGGGGTGCACCAGGGAGGATTTTCTAGAGAGAGATCTTTTGGGGTCAGCCTCAATGTGACGTTTACCTTTCTCTTTCCAGGTCAGAGGTTAAGTCCCAAGTTATGGACAGCGTAGACTCAAAGGGAAGTTTGACAGTGAAATTACCCAAAGAAAAAACACTTGACATGGGAATAACATTCTCCAGGTCCCTGGAGCAGGGCATCGAGTTATCAAAGACCCGGATACTCCAGAAATTCCTGGATTCCATTAAGAACAAGTGAGGCTGGATGCGGGCAGCAAGGGGGAGGGAGAGAGGGAGAAGCCCATTTTGGGCACCAAGAGCATCTGAGGTGGGGGGCCCCTGGCTGGTGCGGCCTCCCACTCCCTACTCCCAGCTCTCCCCATCCCACTCCTTCACTCAAGCATGCCCTCCTCTTCTCCACCCTCAGGAAGCCTTCTCATTCTTCCAGAATCAGCCTCCAGGAGCCCTTCTTCTGAGGTCCTCAATTCACTTATTTCCCTGTTGTCCTCCGGGGTGATTGATTACTTGGGCTTGGACCAAAACTGGCTGGTTTCAAGAGGCCACTGTCCTCTGTTTTCCTATACTGTGCTGCTCAAATCTGTGTTTTGTTCCTGTTTCACTCTGCCTTGCGGCAAGCCCGTGGTTTCCATGTTCCCTCCCCTCACTGCACTCAGAACAACTTGTGACCAGGGACTGACTTTACTAACCTCTCTGTTTATCCCCAGCACATGGTAAGTACTTGGTAAGAGAGCTGAAGTGAAGCCCAATGAAATCAAAGCACCCCCGTTGAACATTTCCTGCACAGGAAGTGCCACCGGCCCACCCCACCAGGGTGGCACCAATCAAGTGCCACAGAAGTTCTGATAGCTGAGGGCATGGTCCTTCCAAGGGACTTAGAGGGATATCACCAGCCTTCCTCCTCAGCAGTCATGTTGTGGTCGGTATTGGTGTCTCCTTCCCTAGCTGCAATTGTTGGAAAGTGTGGATGGGTCGGGGGAAGGGGCCCCACCGCTCTCCTGGGCTAGCCCTCCCTGAGCACGGTGGATGCCTTTTGTTTTTCCTTTTTAATTAAAAACTGAAAGCCTTGCAGTGAAATTGTACTGGTCCTTTGATCTACCCCTACCCATCACGGTATTGCTAGGGAGGGGGCTTCTGCAGTTTTTCTGAGGGAACTCAATTTTTCTAGCAAGCCTGTTGTTTCTAGAGTGAAGCTATGTGGAATGTGTAAATAGAGTTGTGGGGGGGAGGGTAGGTAGAGGAAGATCTGCTCAGGCAAGGATGTAGGACTTTCTTGGGGGTCTTTTGGTTGCAAATACCAGAAGTTCCATCAGGTAGGGAGGGAGGGAGGTTTATACATATATTTATATTTGGCTGCTTGGGGTCTAGTTGCGGCATGCATGCGGGATCTAGTTCCCTGACCAGGGATTGAACCCGGGCCCCCTGCATTGGGAGCGTGGAGTCTTAACTGCTGGACCACCAGGGAAGTCCCCCATCAGGCTGTTTTAAGTCACCAAATGAATTTCTTTATGGAATCAGAGATGCCTCATGGACCCCCAAGGGTGGACAATTCAACCAGGCCCCAGAGACCAGTGCAGGGAGCTGGAGCCCCTTCTCAGAGAAGGGGGTATTGTGGACTGGGCAGATACCTATCTCAGTGCCATGGGAAGGGCACAAGCTTTGGACTCATACACACTGGGGTTTGTATCCCAGTTATACACTTATTAGCTGTGTGAACTTGGACCATTCACGACCTGTCTCTAAGCCTCAATTTCGTCATATGAAAAACGGATGCAATCCTGCCTACATCATAGCGCGGCGGTGAGGGTTGAATGAAATGACGCGTGAAGTATCTCACAGTGCTGGTACACTGTAATCTTCAAGAAATGCTAGCGGGTTCCCTTCCCACTTTGCACCCCGTTCCCGCCCACAGTGGGTAAAGTGAACTGGGATGGTCTTCTGGCCTCAGAGGCACTTAATCTCAAATAGAAACGAGCTGCTGGAGAGGGAGAAATGTCCCTGGGAGGTGGGGCCCCTCTCATTGCCCCTTTACTCCCTCCAGAAAGCTGAAGAGGAGTAAAGAGCCCCCTATGTTCCAATCAGTCCAGGCGATGAGAGAAGACCTTTATCTAGTAACGGAAACTCTGAAGACGACAAAGACTGTAATCCTGAAAAGTGAAAAGCAATATATTTTTTGGGACCCGATGAAATGTTTTGGCCTCCGATATGAACACAAGGTTAGGATCCTGGGAGGTGGGGACTGTGGGAGAGCCAGCTCAGCTCACCCACTGCAGGTCAGGGGCTGCCAGCCCAGCCTCCGCACTCTTCAGCTCTTCCTTTAGACCTCTCTGAGCAGTCTTGCCTGCTCCTTGGCCTTCTTACGACTTCTCTTCTTGCCCCAACAAAGTCTGTGTGGCATCACTCAGCCTCTCCCCTGTTACTCTTTAGTGGTGCTCTGTCTTCATTTGCTTCATAGCGCTTCCCACGGTTCATAGTTACTCGGGTGTTTTTTGCTTGTTCATTGTCTTCCTCCCTTTCCAGGAGGCAGGAGGGCAGGAGCCATGATGCCTGGAACAAAACGGGCATGTTTTGTCCTCTATAAGTTTTTTTTTTTTGGCCACGCCACGCGGCTTGCAGGATCTTAGTTCTCTGACCAGGGATCGAACCCGGGCCCCTGGCAGTGAAAGCGCCAGGTCCTAACCACTGGATGGCCAGGGAATTCCCCATAAATATTTGTTGAATGAAGTGGAAACAACATGAGTTTTGGGGTCAGATGCGGGTTCAAATTTCAGCTCTACTGCTGTGAAACGGGCTCATCTGCTGACCCTCTCAGAGCCTCGGTTCTCTCATCTGTAAAATGAGGATAAAAATGTCTACCTCCCAGGATTGTTTGGGAGATCAGGCAAGATAACTATGTCAAGCACTTAGGGATCAATCAACCTGAGCTCGTTTTTCCTAGCACCAAACGGAAGTGACCATCACCCCTGAGAAGGTCCTGGGCTATCGAGTAAAGCAGCCAGTCTTCCCCAACGCAGAGATTATGGGTAAGCAAGGCCTGGTGGGGCGGGGTGGATGGGGGAGCCTGAACACATGAGTAGGGTGGGGGTTGATTCAGCTGGGGTCTATGTCAGCCTGGAGGGGTCCTGGTGAGCTAGAAGGTGGGGGGAAGTTCCAGGGAATGAGAAGAAGGGTGATGAAGGGTCCTTGCTCAGACACCACTGACCCAGGGTTTGCCCCAGCATGACACTAATTCTTCCCTAGAAGTGTTAACTCCCATCTCTCTCCTAGTATTTTTTTTTCTGTTGGAGGGCAGGGTGGGAAGGTTGGGGAGAAAGAGGACCTTACAGAGAGAGAACTGAGCTTTCTTTTTTAAAAACAATTTTTTATTTTTTAATTTAATTTTTAAAATTATTTTTGGCTGCATTGGGTCTTCATTGCTGCACGCGGGCCCTCTCTAGTTGCTGAGAGCGGGGGCTGCTCTTCGTTGCGGTGCGTGAGCTTCTTATTACAGATCACAGGCTCTAGGCATGGGGGCCCCAGTAGTTGTGGCTCGTGGCTCTAGAGCGCAGGCTCAGTAGTTGTGGTGCATGGGGCTTAGTTGCTCTGCGGCAGGTGGGATCCTCCCAGACCAGTGTTATGAACCTGTGTCCCCTGCATTGGCAGGTGGATTCTTAACCACTGTGCCACCGGGGAAGTCCCAGAACGGAGCTTTTTGATAACTGGTCTTTCTCTCTTTCTCTTTTTACAAACTGGTTTAGGTATTAGGTTTTCTCGGGCAGAAAAGAAAAATCCTTTCCAGAAGGTGAGTGAGCTTCTGGGCCTCCTGTTCATCATTCCAGAATGGGCAAGGATACTATTTTTAAAAAGAGGATAACAAATGGCCTGGGATTATAGAGTTCTTAGTGCTAAGAATGTAATAGGATGCACCCAGGTGGGAACTGTGGTAAGGGCAGGAGAAAAATCTGCCTGTTGGAGAAGTAGGTTGGATTGCATGTTGACCTAGGGTTTCCAGGCTCCGCCAACTTTGACTTGCTCTGTGCAGGTCAGTGTGCTGGTTCCTGGGCTCACAGCCCTTACTGAAGGGTTACTGGCCTAGGAAGCACACTTGAATTGCCTGGTCAGTTCTCACACAATAGCACTAGCACTGAAAGGAGCACTGGACTAGGAGTCAGACGGTCTCAGGGCCTAGTCCTGGCTCTGCCACTCACTAGCTCTACAGCCTCCTGAGCCATGGTTATGCTGACATTAAAATGAACTAGGGGGCTTCCCTGGTGGCGCAGTGGTTGAGAGTCCGCCTGCCGATGCAGGGGACACGGGTTCGTGCCCTGGTCTGGGAAGGTCCCACATGCCGCAGAGCGGCTGGGCCTGTGAGCCGTGGCCGCTGAGCCTGTGCGTCCGGAGCCTGTGCTCTGTGGTGGGAGAGGCCGCAGCAGTGAGAGGCCCGCGTACCGCGTGGCTTCCTCTGGAATTTCAGAGTCTTTCCCTGAATCCAGTAAGGGTTGTTACTGCCTAAAAGGCCTTGTGAAGGAGTAGAGAGAAGTCTAGATGGAGCAGAAAATTCAAGAAAAATTTCTGGAAGTTGTAGAAGTTGCAGTTTCAGTCCTGGCAAGGTCTTGCTAGCTCAGAAGAGACTAAAATGCCATAACAGAGGAGTCAGGGGATAGATTCCAGTTCCTGCCCTGATCCAAACTTGCTGAGCGGCCCTCTCTGGGCTTCCATTTCTCCTTCAATCATCTAGGTATAATCCTATACCTGCTATCTCTGAGGGTGTAGGAAGGGGTCTGTAAATATAGTGCTTTGTCATTTACACACAATGATGAGGATGCAGGCTCCCTGGCATGGGCAGTGAGGGCTCAGAGTCCAGAATTGAAAACTTCCACCACTGGGACAAGAAGGTCCACAGGTGGGTGGAGGTAACCTGAAGACTCTCTGAGATTATTCTTCCTCTTTGCAGAGAAAGATGGCGGTTCATCTTGGTTAGGTAAGGATGGAAGCCAGCTGTGTTCAGGGTAGCTACACTCCTCACTCTTGAGCCCTCTGGCCTCAAGAAGTGCAGCTCAGGTGGGGCAGCTGAGTGCGTGTGAGTGTGTGTGCATATGTGTGTGTGGCAGTGGAGCTTGTTGGGAGGAGAGGGGTAGGACAGTGCCCAAAGCAGGTTTCAACTTCAGTCTGGAGAGTGCATCTGTCTCCTCTAAACACAGTGATTCTCATGAGTTGTAGACATCACCTGGGGGGAACTTTAAAAGTAGTGATACCTGAGTCCCACCTCTAGAAATTCTGACTTAAGTGATCTGGGGGTGTGGCCTGGTCTGGGCATCGGGTCTGGGCACTCCCCAGGGGATTCTCATGCACAGTCGAGGCTGAGAACCACTGCTCTAACTTCCTCTAAATCCTCACTACTCCTGCTGGGGCCCAAAGCTTGCACTTTGAATGGAAAGGACGGCATAAGCTTTGATTTCCTGCAGATGGAGAAGAATTGGGGGTTGGTATAAGACTGAGGGTGAGTTGGGGAGGTGGAAGTGGGGTCAGCGGGAGGCAATGCTGGTGGGCGTCTGGGAAGAAGGATGTTTTAACAGGAAAAGACTAGAAGAAGGGAATATACAGAGAGGTGGTCTCCAGAAGAAAGATAGATAAAGAATGGCGTCTGGGGAGCCTTGGTAATGGAGATTGCTAGGCTAGGTGGGTGGGGTTCTTAATTTCTGCCTCTACTGGGAAGTCCTTGAGTCTGGAGGATTTCCCAAGCGTGAAGGAGAGGATGCAGGACATGGTGCGAGTCCTCCAGAATCCGACTGAGGAGCGAAAAGAGGTGCTAAGCTGCTTCACCAAGTGCCTCAGCAAGGATGAAGAGCTGCAGGATCTAGAGCGAAGAGTAAGAGGCCCAAGGAAGAACTGGGGCAGAGAGAGGGAGGAGCCAGTGCGGAGACAACCTGCTATAATGGGACTGGGCTTATCTCCCCCATCTCCCGGTCCTAGGTGTCTGAGGTCCGGTGCTCCGGGGAGCTACAGATGGAAGGCCCAGCAGGTTCTGTCATGCAGCCTTTTTAACGCTGCTGGGATCTTTTTTTTTTTTTGAAACAATGAATTTTATTTTTTTTATACAGCGGTTTCTTTTTGGTTATCTACTTTATACATATTAGTGTATACATGTCAATCCCGATCTCCCAATTCATCCCCCCACCCCCCCACCCCCGCTTTCCCCTCTTGGTGTCCATATGTTTGTTCTCTACGTCTGTGTCTTGATTTCTGCCTTGTAAACAGGTTCATCTGTACCATTTTTCTAGATTACACATTTATGCGTTAATATACGATATTTGTTTTTCTCTTTCTGACTTACTTCACTCTGTATGACAGTCTCTAGGTCCATCCACGTCTCTACAAATGACCCAATTTCGTTCCTTTTTATGGCTGAGTAATATTCCATTGTATATACGCTGCTGGGATCTTGATGGAGGAGCACACAGAAGCCATTTCGGATTTCTTGGATGACTTGATGGGTGAGGAGGGGTTTGGATGTAAGCTGGTGTGGAGGAAATGCTGAGCAGAGGGGCCTGTAGGGAATCAAATCTTGGGAGGAAGGGGGTATACACTGCCTTTTACATTTTGTGAGGCATAGAACTTCACACTTCAGACACTAGCCATCTTTCCCAGGCCAGGGATTGAGGGACAGCCTCCTCTTCCCCTACGACCTCCTGCAGGCTAAGAGGAAAGCAGGAGCCCTTTGGAAGAACCTCCATCTAGCACTCCTTGGGGCTCTCTGGAACTTCTGATGCTTGTCCCAGCTCTCACCAGACAGTGAAGCCCCGTCCCACTATGTGCCTCGCCTCTCTACCAGCCACCCTCCTTTTTGCCCCCTGAGCTGTCTGAGGAGGGGCAGCTTGTTGCTGAGGCCCTAGTTAAGGGGACCCCGCCCTTTTTGAAGGACAAGGTAAGACAGCCTGGGTTGAGGGCCCAGGTCCTAGTGGAAGTGAATGCCCGTGCTCTCAAGGATCCAGAAGTCCCAGTGACCAGTCCCTTCCTACTTCATAGTCCTCTGCCAGCTGTCTGTGCAGCTGGTTTGTGGCAATTCCCCGGATATATAGTTTCCAGGACAACTTAGGATGGGCTTTTTAGGCTCTGTTGCTTGCCTATGGGCAAGAAAGGGGGTTGGAAAACTGTTAGTCCCAGGAGGGCAGTTGGCCCCAGCTTGACAGATCAGCAGTGCCTGTCACTATGTTGAGAGTTTGAGGGTCTCCAGGCAAGAGTGCCGTGGTGGATTGCTACGTCTGCCATGGGCTCAGGATTAAGGAGTGCGGCCAAATATTTGCCATTTCTGGCATATTTCCTTGTTTCTAGATTTTACAGTCTGGTGGGTTTCCTTCCAGGTGGAGCCTATCCTGGAGCAGAACCAGGGTGAGCAGCCCCGTGACGTGGGCTGTGACCCTGAGGCACGGACTCTCTGTGCCCTCTACGTTGTTGTCTCCATCCTGCTGCAGCTGGGTGAGAAGCCTACCTCTGTGTCTTCCTAATACCATGTCAGCTCTTTTTTAAAAATAACTTTATTTATTTATTTATTATTTATTTTTGGCTGCGTTGGGTCTTCGTTGCTGTGCGCGGGCTTTCTCTAGTTGGGCGAGCGGGGGTACCCTTCGTTGCGGTGCACGAGCTTCTCACTGCGGTGGCTTCTCTTGTTGCGAAGCACGGGCTCTAGACGTGCAGGCTTCAGTAGTTGTGGCACACGGGCTCAGTAGTTGTGGCTCGCGGGCTCTAGGGCGCAGGCTCAGTAGTTGTGGCGCACGGGCTTAGTTGCTCCGCGGCATGTGGGATCTTTCCAGACCAGGGCTCGAACCCGTGTCCCCTGCATTGGCACGCGGATTCTTAACCACTGTGCCACCAGGGAAGTCCCTCCTGTCAGCTCTTTAAGCATTCTCCCCACAAGCCTCTGGGTGCTCCCCTCCCCAGTCCATTCTCACCATCCCTATTCCCAATCACCAGAATGATGTCTTTAAAACAAGCCGCTATTTTTTGATACATCCCATTCACCATGATAATGTCCAAAACTCAGCCTGGATTGTATGATTAAAAGTGGCAGATTGATCATATTAATTTCCTCTCCCTCTTGAAATCTCACTAAATGACAATAAAGCGATGGAAAAGATAGAAACCCACAGAATAAAGAGAATTGGGCAGCAGATAAGGGATTTCAACACATCTTTGGAAGCAAGGAAGCAATTATAGGAGTGTAAGCTAGGAGACATGGGACTGAGGGATGCGTAGGAGTGTAGGAGGAGACTGCTGGTTTTCATCATAAGCCTTTTAGTTCTATGTAACATTTTTCAAGACAATGTAATTAAAAGCAAAAGAAATATATATTTGTTGTAAAGCATTTCAGATATTTCTCAAAGTCAAAGGTAAAGGCACCCTGTGATCTCCCTTCTCCCTTTAATATAACCACTATTAACACTTTGGGGTATGTGAACATTTTTTCTATGCAGCAGTTTTAAAAATGGTAACTTAAACATTAAACTAGGAATGATATAGCATACATTTGTTTTGTATCTATCTTTTGAACTAGTCGCTTTCACATTTAAATTTGTAAAAATATTATATGCAACAGGAACTCTCATAAGTGCTGTCGGAGTGTAGCTTGGTCCACCACTCTGGAAAACTGTTTACCAGTATCTACTAAAGCTAAACATATACCTATGACTCAGCAACTCCACTTCCTTGGCATATACCCAAGAGAAATGAATGCACGTGTTCACCATAAGATTGCATGTACAGAAACGTTAAAATAAGAGCCCCAAGCTGAAAACTATTCAAATGTCCAATAATATTAGTATGGATACATATATTGAGGTACACGTATGCAATAAAAGAGAACAAATTACTGCTACACATAACAACATGGATGGTTCTCACAGACAGAATGCTGAGCAAGTGAAGCCAACACAAAAACACATGGGTCTTCTGAGAAGTAGGTGCCAAAATGGAATCAGATATGCAAGGGACTTAATAGGGGGAAAGCCCGTGAAGAATAAAGGGAGGGAGCAGGAATCGGCATGGCAAACCTTCAAATCACAATGACGGTCTAAAACTTGGGAATGGAGAGGAGGAGGGAAAGACTAAGTAGAAAGGGTCTCAGGTGGCAGCACAGTCTGAGGGTCTCAGCCAAGCCAACCTGAGCAAAGGTGGTCTGCCGGAGGGCCCCCCATCAGGCAGAAGGGCCAGGCTCCAGTACCTCATACTCAGCTTGTGGCTGGATGTAGCCCCGGGGAGCTGGGGCTCAGAAGACAGATCTACAGCGGGGTAGGCTAGAGGTTCTCAGTCAACTCTGCTTCCCACAGCAGGTTCTCCTAAAGAAAATCCGGGTGGTACCCTCCGTGGCCACTACAATACTGTATGATTCCATTTATATGAGGCTCAAGAACAGGCAAAACCAAGCAATAGGGGTAGAAGTCACAATAGTGGTTATCTTAGTGGGGACAGTAGTGACTGGGAAGGGGCATGAGGGAATCTTCTGGAGTGCTGGAAATATATCAAGATTCACTGAGCTAACATTTAAGATCAGTATATGTTACTATAAGTGTATTATATTCAATACATCAATAAAAGTCTTAAAAAAACACACAGTATATAACTCCATGTAAATGAAGTGAAAAACAAGCAAAACTACATGATGGTGGTAGATGTCAGAATAGTGGTTATCTCTGGGGCTTCCCTGGTGGCACAGTAGTTAAGACTCTGTGCTCCCAATGCTGGGGGCCCGGGTTTGATCCCTGGTCAGGGAACTAGATCCCACATGCATGCTGCAGCCAAGAGTTCACATGCCACAAATAAGGAGTCCACATGCCATAACTAAGGAGCCCTCGAGCTGCAACTAAGGAGCCTGCCTGCCACAACTAAGACCCAGTGCAGCCAAAAAAAAAGAAAAAAAAATAGTGGTTATCTCAGTGGGTGCAGTATTGCCTGGCAAGGGGCATGAGGGAATTTTCTGGGGCACTGGACATATTTTATATCTTGATCTGGATACTGGTTACATGGATGTGTAACCACGTTTACATGTGTAAACATTTATTAAGCTAAACATTTAAGATCTGCGCACTTTACTGTGAGTTTTTATCTCAATAAAAACTTTAAAAACATAATATATGCACATGAGGACATATTTGAACAGTACAGAAGAATATAAACAAATTAAGTAAAAGTTTCCTTTCAAACCCCTGAACCCTATAACCTAGTCCCACTTCCTTGAGACACCCATATTAACAGTTTTAGTTTTTATTACAACTAAACATGATATTCTTATATTTATTCTTGATTTATTAATTTTATTTATTTTTTAAAGGTTTTTTTTTCTTTTTTTGGTTGCATTGGGTCTTTTTTTTATTTTTATTTTTTAATTTTTTTTTATTTTTTGCGGTAAGCGGGCCTCTCACTGTTGTGGCCCCTCCCGCTGCGAAGCACAGGCTCTGGACACACAGGCCCAGCGGCCATGGCTCACGGGCCCAGCCGCTCCGCGGCATGTGGGATCTTCCCGGACCAGGGCACGAACCCGTGTCCCCTGCATTGGCAGACGTACTCTCAACCACTGCACCACCAGGGAAGCCCTTTAATTTTTAAAAATTTGTTTTTTGACGTAAGGTAGATAGCTAGTGGGAAGCAGCCGCACAGAGCAGGGAGATCAGCTCGGTGCTTTGTGACCCCCTGCAGGGGTGGGATAGGGAGGGTGGGAGGGAGGGAGACGCAAGAGGGAAGAGATATGGGAACATATGTATATATATAACTGATTCATTTTGTTGTAAAGCAGAAACTAACACACCATTGTAAAGCAATTATACTCCAATGAAGATGTAAGAAAGAAATTTTGTTTTTTGGCTGTGTTGGGTCTTTGTTGCTGCACGTGGGCTTTCTCTAGTTGCAGCGAATGGGGGCTACTCTTCGTTGTGGTGTGCAGGCTTCTCCTTGCCATGGCTTCTCTTGTTGCAGAGCACAGGCTCTAGGGGCGTGGGCTTCAGTAGTTGTGGCACACAGGCTCAGCAGTTGCAGCGTGCGGGCTCCAGTAGTTGTGGCGTGCAGGCTCAGTAGTTGTGGCTCGCGGGCTTAGTTGCTCCATGGCATGTGGGATCTTCCTGGACCAGGGATCAAACCCGTGTCCCCTGCATTAGTAGGCGGATTCTTAACCACTGCACCATCAGGGAATTCCCTGCATCAGGTCTTAGTTGCGGCATGCAGGATCTTCCTTGAGGCATGCAGGATCTTTCGTTGTGTCGTGCGGGCTTCTCTCTAGTTGTGGTGTGCAGGTTTTCTCTATCTAGTTGTGGTGTGTGGGCTCCAGGGCACGTGGGCTCTGTAGTTGTGGCACACGGGCTTAGTTGCCCCACGGCATGTGGGATCTTAGTTCCCCGAGCAGGGATGGAACCTGAGTCCCCTGCATTGGAAGGTGGATCTTTACCACTGGACCATGAGGGAAGTCCCTTGATTTATTAATTTTATTTTATTTATTGTTTTTTTTAAGATTTTTTTTTTGATGTGGACTTTTTTTTTTTTTGCGGTACGCGGGCCTCTCACTGTTGTGGCCTCTCCTGTTGCGGAGCACAGGCTCCGGACGTGCAGGCTCAGCGGCCATG